GTTTAATTCACGTCCTTATTCACCAGTCATTTTATTTCAGTTTTCTCTGTGATATTTGCACAGAATTTCCTTCACTTGTCAACTGGATTCTTTCAGCAGTGCTACTTTCTAGTACTTATGGCATCACCACTACAATGCCACTACAAAAATACCTACTATAAAATGCAGAAATTTGAGAGGGTATCAGAAAAGAAAACATCACTGAATAAATCAAGAAAAGGAACAAGCTGATAAAGCCTTGGGAAGACTCCATTTTGACACAAATGTCATGGTAATCTTCTTTGGTAAAACAGCAAACATGGGAGCAATGTGTGACAGTTACATGGAGGTTTTTGCCAAGTGTATTTTTAAAAATACACATGAATTTTGCATCGGCTCTTTAACATTCCAAGCTAACTGGTTTGCAGGCATGCTTCTGAAGAATGTGAAGTACATAAAAATGTAAAATACTTACTTATTGCTAACATTTTCTTTGATGGCTTTCAATAAAAATACATAGATTCGCACACCTTTACTTTTGTTACTTTGATAGCTAACCGGCTGTGCTTCCAACAACTGAAGAGGCCACATCTGTCAGGCATTAAGACTCAACAGTAAGGGTAAGACCAAGAAGGTGGCAGAGCTGGGATACTGTGCCATAAGAACTGCAGCATCACATTTGGCTCCAACAGGTGTGCAGATGACTGATGACTTGTATTTTGATTCCAAATACAATCAACTGAATCATAAGCTTGTGTGGCTTGGTAAAACTGCCAGTCTACGTGCTCAGCCAACTCTAAGGACAGAAAGGGTGACTCTACCCCAACGCGGCTGGAAAGGAACAGAGCTACATTCACACAAGAAAGTCACTGCGTCATTCTCTTACACAGTGGTACAATATCTATGCTCGCTCTGCTTCCAGGGCAAATCCAAGAGACATGCCATTGCTGAGGCTGTATTGCTCCATCCTGTACAATACAAAGGCATATGAAATCCTCTCAGTGAAAACAAACCTGCATTCATACATATTCCTGTTTTTCATGACTAAAGTTACAATCTAAGGACATAGAAGTGAGATGATACAGCTACAACTGTTGCAGAGTGCAGTGCTCCTGAATCCTGTATTTCAAATGAGACATCATAAAAAGGTGCTGACATCTCGAGGTTATTAAAGAGATCACAGCGCTATTCTCTTCACAGTGTGATGACACCTTTAGTTTAACTGTCTTTTAGTAATGTAAACGTGCCCAAATGTAGCATTCTTAAGAATTCAAATTACAAACTGTTACTCCAAATCACAAAGTGTTATTATAATTACTAAAGGAAATTACTAAACTGAAGACAGAGAACAAGTCATATAATAAGTAAAGGTGGACAGTGACTAACTTCCTCAGGCATTACTTAACCTACTCATAGTCATTATTTATTGATAGCAATATAGTTATTTCCAAAAGCTAAATTTAGTCTACACTTCAATTTCTAGTTGGTGGGGTTCTTTTCCCCAAATGCCTTTAAGAAAATAAAACTTCTTTCTCTGCTTTAAAAAATTTTCGTGATTAATCAATCTGTTACCTCTGGCTTCAGCTAAGTATATGACCTGACAAGAGGAGAGCATCCTTCTCTGACTGCTTTGGTACACAGCCTCCTAAACATCATTAATGAAATACTGCAGAACGTTGCAAAGAAATGTAAGGGGCATAACCTCGTGGTAACTTGAAACTGATGTATCTTACAGGACTTTTGTTTCAATGCTCCCGTTCACCACATATATGAACTCTAATCAGTTATATATAGTTTATGGGACATTGCCCATTTATAACATCTTTGCTGGGAATATAACATATTAACCGTTAATAATAAAGGTTAACATGATGATAATGACACTGAGATTAATGCATCTGGAAGCCAGATTCAATAGCTTCTTATTAGGTAAAATGTTAATCAGAGGCATCCATGGTGAAGGTGGCTATTCTTTAAAGTCTAGCTAGGCATCCTCACAAGGATACAGTCCGGTAATTACACGTACAGTATTTAAGGTTTCATTAAATCAATGAGAACCTCTTAAAACACTTTTTTTTTTTTTTGAGTGAGCTTTATACCAAAAGTTTCATAGTAGAAATACACTTTTCAGAAATGTAACTGACAATCTTATGTTCAACACCATTCATTTAAGATGATAAATTATTTGCATTAAATGCATTATTTATTATATGCTTCAACATGCCTTTATCAATGTTGTTTAGACAATTTATATTTACATTACTGGGCAATTATGTACAGAAAAGGCAGTTCAGAACATTATATTCTCTGGTGCACATAGGGCAAAATTTAAACCATAACCACTACCACAGGTTAAGCTGTATAACAAAAACAAGCTAATGGACAGCAGTCTATTTTATTTCTGTCAGCACTAAGAGTATTTTATGCACTGTATACAGGGAGACTGACAAATATGATCACTAATACAATATAGCATTCAGACTACCATAGTATGACTCTGTGGAAGAGTTAATGCTTGTGAGTACCAAATTCGGGAGTTAAAATTCACTGAAGGCATTGACTTCAAAGGTCCCTGAATGGTATTCAGAAGCCCCAGCTCAGCTACTGTTGAGCTAAATAAGAGTTTTATCTTGAAACTTGTAAATTCCATCCTTTATTAACTAAGCACTAAGGCTAAGTTGTACGACTAAACTAATGAATGATCCAGAAAAGATAACCAGGAAATTACTAGTCAGTGTTTCTCACTCCACAGTAACTACACAGCACCACATGAAATGATGAAGCAGCAGGTTGTAAACAAGCGATCAGAATTGTGTGAACTGTGTGCTTGAATCCACTACATGTTAAGCAGGCCAGAAGCATCAAAGAAACACAAAGGAAAATTAGAGAGGTTCACAAGAAAAAAAAAGGTTGCGGCAGTCCAAACCACAGACTGCCAGGGTACAGGAACAGTGCATGCTTAGTTTGCTGTCCTAAATACCTGCCAGTGGATAAACTGAACCTCGTCTTAGCAAGATGTGCTGCTGGGCTGACCAGACTGGCTGCTCTTCATGTGTCAAATGACCAGCAAAGATCTCAAGGAGTTTTAAGTATTTATATACCCCAAGAGAAGTCCTCAAGTTTCAGGCTTTGTGACAAAAAAATGCAGCTTTTTAAACTCCCCCCATCCCCAGACTAGTTTGTTTATCATTCTGATGAAAAAATAATTCATGTGTGACTTGGAGATGGTCTTCCTGAGGAAAGTACATATTACAAACCGCACAACAAATAATGTGTATTTTACACACTTCTCATACAAGTGTCTCCAGGGCTGGTAGGAAGAACAGAGGCATACGCTTTGCCTTCCTGTTCTTGCACACAAAGTTTTACCACCTCTTTTGAGAGGTAACAGTGAAAACTGCAATTAACGGGACAGAATATCTTGTTATCTGTCCATAAAGTCGCCAAAGGAAAGATCTTTATCTTGCTTGAAAAGGTATGCAGATCATTCCTTAACATTTCAATTTCTACAGAAAATAGCCCTTTTGGCTATGTAGAGCACCACAACTCAGCAAGGTATAGAGGGGGGGAAAGTTGCCAGTGAGCAAAAGTAAAAAGAGGTGACGTTTCAGTCACTTAGAAACAAAGGCACAGGTCTCTGGACGAATGCCCATGGAAGAAACATGTTCCATAAAGGTGGGAAGACAACAGGAAAACAGTGAGGCAGACCACCTGGAATCAATGTATTCAGCGTAAGAATAACAAAACACCTATTTTTCTTAGGACAGTTATCTTTTTCAACCTACAGTAAGTCTATGGTCCCAAGTATATCAAGAAAGCTTTGCTGGTGTGTACCGATATATACGATATGGTCAAAGCAGCTCTTGTGTAAACACAGCTACATCAGATGAATTACAATTTGTTATAGTAAAATGAAAATCTTCCCACACAGCTTTACTGAAGCAGTAGTTGATAATGTTACAGCCACTCACAGTAGTATTTATCCCAGTTTAACATACACTGCTACATTTGTATACAGTACATATGCTGCTTAAGCATCCCTACCATAAACAGCATGCCACTTGCATGCCACTTACAAATTGTTTCAGACTTAACTTCACACTTACCCCTCTTTCCAGGGTGCTGGCTTACATACATGCAATCAGTAAGGTAAACATAAAAGCACTGTATAACTCTCTTGAAATCCTTGAAGTGCTTCAGCATGCTGCCCTGCTCTTCACAAAGCCACAGTCCTCAGTAACTTGCACCACACCATACCATTTGTGCCAGCAAACCCTCAAGCACCAAGAATTCCTAACTGACAAGGGACTTACTTACTAAAGCACCACTACCCATCTGTTAAAGCCTCTTCGTTGTACACTAATATCCATACCTTTATAAAACATGAAGATAAAACGTGGTCTCCTCCCTTTTCTTCTACCATGAACTGTAAGGAACCAAGGTCCTGATGGTAGACTAACGATTGAAAAAGAAATCTTGAACTAACAGCAATGAAGCAGCATCACATTTAGCGATACACAGGGGCTCCAGTAATTTGTCTTGCTGCTGTTGCTGCTATCTCACTAACCTCTACCACAAAAATACCCATGGGCTTAGCTGCCCAAGAGCGAGGCTTTGTTTATCTGAGCAGTGCTTTCCCAACTGGCCTGTCATCCATTTTGGATCAGTAGGATCTTGTCCAGCTCCTGCACATGAAAGCTTTCCAAGAGACTTGCTAACTGAGTGATCATCTTACTTTGCAAGTGTTTGTATTTTAACCAGCTTCACTAATAGCATATGGTTTTATAATTCTGCAAGAAGAATGGGGTTCGGTCCTCTTAGAACGAAGCGCACCTAGCGTTTGCATTCATTGCGACACGCTTTGATGGCCTTTCTGGGAAGCAGCTTGTTTCAGATACTGACCAGAAAAAGTCTTCCTCATTATTTAAGTGTTGTTAAATCACCCACATTTATATCTTAAATATACTGTATAATAGGTATAAGATTACCCAGTAAAAAGATCGTCAGATCAAGATACTTACAAAAAGCAGAAGCAGAAGCGGAGTTATAACAATGCCCTGGAAGAAACAAACAAACAAGTCTGTTAGGGAAGTGGAATAGTCTTTACTTCCTTGGAAATACACAAACATCATTCAACATCACAGAAATTAAGTAACAAGAAGTTCAACTTTGCTCTTCACTGTGTACATTCTTTAACATCTGTATGCCAATCATTTTATGAACTATACTCAGTACAACGTATCTTTTCTTTTACCTCTAGTTTTCCCCATATTATACCTAAGCCCCTCTATTCTAAAAAATCTGACATACAGAGATATAGATAATTTATTTTAAAAAAACATATTAAAGCGCTCTCCTCACATGCTGCATCTTAACTTCACTAAGCTGCTCCTCCTTAGGGGGTGACTTGTGATCAAGTCCCATGCTACCCAATCCCAGGTCCTCTTCTGAGCAAAAGCCGCATCAACCGTGATGAATTAGGTGTCGTGACTGTGTAATGTAAACTGATATTCCCCAAGGAAAGGAGCTGAGATCTCAAAACTCATTTCACTTGATTAGACTTTGCGTCTCACTGGTAGAAGGCAAGTCTTTCATCTAATTTAATCACACAGGACCACCTCAGCTTTCCACGTCCCCCAGGCAGACGCAAGCAAAAAGATTTGTTGTCTTCGCTGACAAGGAACAGGTTTAAAGCTGATGATTGGACAAAATAGAGGATTTTAAGTTTCATGAGAGCAAATCTTAAAATGAGTTGTTCGGGTTGGGAGTTAACATGACATGCATCAGTTTCATAGCTGCAAATAGCAATTCCCCATCATCCTTCCATCTGACTTCAATATTTTATTATTGCTCAATAAAATTATTCTATCATTTAATGCATGCTAATTCACAAAGCTTGCTCAGAACTTCTCTAAGCCATGACTATTCTTCATCCAGATAGGTCTCAAAAATAAGTAGTCTTTCAGCTATTCCCAAACTTTATTGTTTCAAGGACAAAAGTCCAAAACTTGCTCACATCCATCTAAACGGAGGCTTACTTTCTGTTTGTTTTTAGCTCCAAGTGAAAAACCATCGAACAAAAAAAGCAGTTGTCCCCTGCTTTTCATTTAAAGCTTGAGTAACAGAGCTTTACTTCAGTCTTTTCAAAGCTAATGTAAAGAAAAAGTCTTATATGACTAGGTTTGTAGGGGCTTTCTAGGTCCACAAAAAAAATCACAGATCCAGACAGCCCATTAGGCACAGAGAGTTCCTACTGTGCTTTTAAAACAAAATGCAACAAGTAAATGCCACAAATGATAGCAGACAAGAAGGATCGAGGGGGCAACAGTTAAGCTATGCAACTTGAAGGCTCTGCAGAATTTAAAAACATACTTTGAAATAAATAATATATGCCATATCTGACTGCCCCACAGCCTAGCTATCCATAATCATTTATCTTTTTGCAAATGTCACAGCTGAGATAGATCACAAAAGACTAGAAAGAGAAGCAGTAGAAGCAGCAAGAATTGCTTCAGGGAGTCACTCTCTGTTTACAGGGAGGCCTAGACCGAAATGCAGATAACAGTTATGAAGAAATACAGGTGTTCAAGTATACCAGCTGTAGAGGAAGGAACAAAAGTTGAGGAAGGGAGAAGGCACTTAGAGCTGAACTGACACTTGCATACAGTTGCATCTATGATGCTTAGAACAGAGAACTGACAGGAAGATCTGTATAATGTAGATGTAACACAGGCACTTCATCAGAACGGCCAAACTCCAGCTTTTATGAGCTACTACTTAGAATACATGAGCCAGACTTTCCCCTTCTTCCCCTTTCCCCATTGACAACTACAGCGCATAGTTCAAATATTACCAAGTGCCTGAGTATTCCCCAAGCATCCCATAATTTTGGGATGGCAGAACACCACTGCAGCAGGGTTCCACCTTCAGTCCTTGCATGAGCGAAGAGGAGCATGGGTGGAGCGGGAGGTGGTACGCCAAAAGCATCCTGTACTCCAAATGAGCATTGAGTGCAGGGAGAAGAGAGCACCCTGCCAGCTGGTGAGTACAGCCAGCTCTCCTCTAAATCTGAAGGAACTCATTGATTCAGCACCATTAGTCATTTCTTATGCGCTTCATGCCTCAGTACATTTCATAGCGCTTTTAGACTTTACCAAAAAATGCAAAGGTAAAACCAAGAAAACCCCCAACAAAACAACCATCCCCTTTATCTTGTTGATAAAGATGGTGTCCTTCCTCTTTAGGAGGGGACCTGTGACTTGGCATATATTTGCTTTAGAAGCTTGGTGATAGTAACAAAATGGGCAACAGCCACTGCTAATTCAAAGTATGTGTCACAAAAGGAAATGTTACCTCTGTGACAGAAACGCTTCTTCAGTTCTGTAAGCAGAGAGGAAGAGAATTCTACTATACATCCTAAATAGATTCCTGACTGAGCTTGTTGAAAATCTAGCATTCAAAAGGTCAATTCTAGCAATTTTTTACAAAATTTTGCTATTAAACCTGGTGATCTTAATAAGCAAGTTTCCTGTTGCCTCACCACAGAAAGGATTTACAAGGTTGATTTTTCCCATTTGCAACACATACACAATTCCCTGGGAAGCTAAACAATTACCTGACAGAAGAGACAAGTTCATATTAAAAAAATAGATGCTGTTGCTGAATCAGAGTAATTTGATGTTAACGTTTTATTTTGATAAGGAGCGCCGGTCTGAAAAACCACAGGGATTACATTAAAACCAAAGAGGTATTTTTCAGTCAGTCGTGCTGTGGTGATTGTGATGGTTCACGGGCGCGAGCAAGGCAAGATTTGTTAGGGGAGGGGACCTCTGTTACCAGACCAACTGGTGGAGTTGGTAAATAACAAAATTTGGGCACGTAAGGCCAATTTATATGTTACCTGAATACAATGACATGCTTTTATGTGCAAAAGCCCTTCTCTTCAGGTTTCTGTTCCAGATTTGAAGGGTTTACACGACTACGGTATATCTAACAAAAGGTATTGCCTTTCCCTGCATGTGCTGCCCTGCTTCAACACGTTACCTCTTCATTAGAAACATGCTCCTCAATATGCTCATAAGCATATATTACGTCATGCATCTCAATTCATACCCACTAAATAGTATATAGAGCACATTGAGTCTAAAGCCTACTGATAGGAAATACAGATGACAATTTAAGTTATGAAGGTAAACTCAAAATCTGATTCACTCAGAATAAAGCAAAGGTGGAAAAAGCAGTTACTCCACACAGTCCAGCTCACGCACTAGCAAGGGCTTCACAAAGACAAGCGTATTCTGACGCTGGCAGTGTGGCTGCTTTCCAAGGCTACGACAGGCTGAAAAGCACAAAGGAAGCTAAAAATGAAAATAAAGGCTATCGCTTCTAAGTCCATTGGACACTAACACCATCAGAGAGGAAAAAGTAACTAAATTTGACTATGCTTTTCCCTGCCTTGCTTTCCAGGCAAGTGCTGTCAAATACATAGTGTATGGAGATAAACAGATTGTAGATTAGCACTTCCAGCAGAAGCTGAGCATCTGCCCTTGAGAATGCAAGGTCATTACACAGTTTTAGCATCTTCAAAGTTCGGGTGGAGTGTTAAGCTTTCCGACTGCTGCCCACAATGGAGTCAAAGTTGTAAAGTGACTGCCGTTTGCTATCAGCAGAAAAACTTTCAAGAAATCCATTTACACCTCTGATGTGAAAGACTGACTGAATAAATTTCAATGATTTTAGTGGAAAGGGAATAAAAAAAAAAAATCTCAGCCTGACCTGAGACACTGATATAATATAGGAGCCTGAATAGTCAGATACCTGTAAACACATTTCTTTTTTACAGTGAAGATCATGAAACATGTCTTAATCAAGAGAGTTTAAATAGATGTTTGTGTGTGTGAGCATGTGCATAAACATACACTTTAACAGCAAGGATGTACTTGGAAATCCATTTAATTGTTTATCTGGTATAGATAAAGATGTTAAGAGGTTTTCTCTAGGTTTCATCCAGTACAGCATTGCTGTAGAACAGATATTAAAAGTTTATTCTCCAAAAGAATATGTAGAATCAATACATGTAATTGGCTGCCAAATTGGATAGCAAAAGGAAGTAACATAATGGATTTGAAACTAAGATGGCAAATCATTAAGAAAGAAATTATGCAAATAGTAAGAGGAAGGTGGGCACAGATCCAAAGGGACACATGGTAGAAGACGAGTAAGGATTATTGTAATGAGGCATGAAATACATGTGAACTTTCCTTCGTTTCCTTTACCCACAAATTTCCCATCCAATTTTTCTTCATTCTTACAGGTCATCAGTATGACACGCATGTGGCAATTACTAGTGAAAAAAACCTTAACCGAAGTCATGTCTGATTTATCTTAAGAAGTAGGGCTAGAAAGAAAACAAAAGGTTTTTGTAATCAAGATTCTGAACAAATGTATATTTTCTGAAATCAATTATCTATTTGTGCTTAAAGCTACAGATGTTCTTGAAAGCTTCATCAGAGCAGGACACAGAAAGTACAAAAGCGTAAGCAGCATTATGTTATAAACTGCATAAAGATTAGTAAAAAGTTAACCGGGCAGCATTTCCATTCCTACTGATAGGGTAAGGTGTGAGGAAAAATGGCTATGAACTTTGGATAATTTCATCACAAGACAAGCATGAATGAGAACTGAAACTCAATCTTCATCTGTGTACAGCAGTATTTCTCACATGCTTTTATTTCAAGAGTCACTGACACTTTTTGGAAAAGAAAGAGCAACCAAAAAAACCCTAGCCTGCCCCCCCCCCCGCCCCCCCCCCCCAAAAAAAAAACCAAAACCAAAACTTTGCAGTTTTTCTGATTACAACAGGACAGAGAGACTTTACCTTGAAACGTTTATTATTTCTATTTCTTCTTATGTGTTTTGTTTTCCCGCTTTTGTGTTTGGATGTGTTTTTAATTTTTTTCCTTTTTTTTTTTGACAAATTTGCAGACAACTTTATAATGCTTTACATTTCAAAAAGAGAACCCTGCCTCTCGAAAAGTACTTCTAGGTCTGAATTAGG